TTAGAATATTACTTAAGACCAATATTTAAAAAAATGCTTTTTTAGAAATGTTGGCCATCTGAAAAGTATGAATGTGAAAAGTATGAGCATGTACAGCACTCAATACTTAGTTGGGGCTCCTTTTGCCTGGATTACTGCAGCAGTGCAGCATGGCATAGATGATCAGCCTGTGGCACTGCTCAGGTGTTATGAGAGCCCAGGTTGTTCTGATAGTGGCCTTCAGCTCTTCTGAATTGTTGGGTCTGGTGTATTGCATATTCCTTTCACAATACCACATAGATTTTCTATGGGGTTAAGGTCAGGTGAGTTTGCTGTCCAATTAAGAACAGAGATACCATGGTTCTTAAACCAGGTACTGGTAGCTTTGGCACTGTGTGCAGGTGATAAGTCCTGTTGGAAAATGAAACCTGCATCTCCATAAAGTTGGTCAGCAGCAGAAAGCATGAAGTGCTCTAAAACTTCCTGGTAGACAGCTGCGTTGACCTTGGACCTTAGAAAACAGTGGACCAACACCAGCAGATGACATGGCACCTCAAATCATCAATGGCTGTGGAAACTTGACACTGGACCTCAAGCAATGTGGATTCTGTGCCCCTCCTCTATTTCTCCAGATTCTGGGACCTTGATTTCTAAAGGAAATGCAAAATGTATTTTCATCAAAGAACATAACTTTGAACCACTCACCATCAGTCCAGTCCTTTTTGTATTTAGCCCAGGTGAGATGCTTCTGACACTGTCTCTTGTTCAAGACTGGCTTGACACATTGAATGTGACAGCTGAAACCCATGTCTTGCATAGGTTTGAGTGTGGTGGTTCTTGAAGCACTGACTCCAGCTGCAGTCCACTCTTTGTGAATCTCCCCCACATTTTGGAATGGGTTTTGTTTCACAATCCTCTCCAGGTTGAGGTTATCCCTATTGCTTGTACACTTTTCTACCACATTGTTTCTTTCCCTTCGCGCTTGGACACGGAGCTCTGTGAACAGCCAGCCTCTTTAGCAATGACATTTTCTCTCTTGCCCTCCTTGTGCAAGATGTCAATGGTTGTCTTTTGGACAACTGTCAAGTCAACAGTCTTCCCCATTGTGTAGCCTACAGAAATAGACTGAGAGACCATTTAAAGGTCTTTGCAAGTGGTTTGAGTTAATTAGCTGAGTGTGGCACCAGGTGTCTTCATTATTGAACCTTTTCACAATATTCTAATTTTCTGAGATACTGAATTTGGGGTTTTCATTAGTTGTCAGTTATAATCACCAACATTAAAAGAAATAAACATTTGAAATATATCAGTCTGTGTGTAATGAATGAGTACAATATCAAGTTGCACTTTTTGAATGGAATTACTGAAATAAATCAACTTTTTCATAATATTCTAATTTTATGACCAGCACCTGTATATTCATGAGTAAGCCTCACCAGTTTTACAAAGAGCAAATAATAATTTTATTATAATGCAATTGAATATTATGTTGTGCCTGCAGGAGCTATCGGTCAACAGAAATTCCCACCTCAAAAATGTGATTGCTGACAGAAATTCAGCAGCAAGTTAGGACTGTGTGTGTGTGACAGCTTTATGCCGCCACATTCAAAGCCTGTGGAGCTTAAATTGGGTTATAAGCCTGAAAGGAGATCTTCTGCAGCTGCAAAGGAGAGGCAGTGTACAGTGCACAGCTTTTTCAGTCACACATTCTTGTTAAATTTACTGCATGACTTTCCCCCAGACAGTATCAATACACCACAGAGTAAACAAGTCTTTTGGGCATTCATCATTCACTGGGCAGCACTGCCAAGCAAAGTCCCTGTTTTTGATTGAAGGGATAAGGCGAAAGAAAAGTCCAAAGTAGGACCAGGCATCTGTACCCTGCATAACGGAAAGGATTTTGATGGAGTGAGCTCTGAAAACTTTTTTTTTTAAACTTTTTTAGCCAAAAGGTATACTAAAGATTAGACGATTCAAAATAGATAAAAACATATATAATAAATTGCCAGCTGACACTGATATGGACATGAAAGATTTGTTGGAAATAATTTTTATGACATATTTAATGCAGATCCTGAGAGGATATTGGGAATTTTCTTATTTGTTTATTCCCTGGAATTCACACACATATATATATATATTCCTCCTCCACCACCACACACACACACACACACACACACACACACACACACACACACACACACACACAAATACATACAAACACATAAACCTTGTACACATGGAGCAAATCTTTGTTGTAGTCATGAGCACGATTTGAATACAATCACCTTTTTATAGGTATTATTGCTGCATAGTACAAATACTCCGATGTAGGAGTAGGACTTTTTCAGGTTCATGATATGCTCTGTACATCTCTGGAATGTCACTTGTGTCCTTGGTAAGGCAAAAGAGCTTTTTTCCCCCCATTATATATAAGAATATTACAACCCTGTGGAAGCGTTCATATTTAGGGTTCTACCGAATGCAAAAACCTTGAACTTGCAAGAAATGGTTTATTCTGAATGACAAAAACAAAAGTTCTCACATGCTTACAACTGGAAAATCCTCCAGGCAAAAACTGATGGATGCAGACATATTTTGTCAGGTTTGTGTCAAAGTGAGAAAATGAATGTGAATAAAAGCAAAAAGGTCGTCATGTCTTAAATGACACAAACTAACTAAACTGTCATTTTACCAGAAAATAGTCAAAGATGCAAGAACATGCTCCTTTTTACATCTCATACCCAGAAACATCTGCATCCCCAAAATACTGTTTAAGGCAATCTATATTTGCTCCCATCTTTTTTAAGAACCTGATATGGACTTACCTAAAGAATATTGTAAATTAAATGAAAAGAATCAATTCACAAATCTAATCTGATTTTTTGCAGAAATTGAGTGTGCAGTTTCCTGCATAACCTCCTAATTCTGCACTCAAGACATTATTCCTACTGCATCTTTATTAAGGCAGCATTATTTATTCTCTGCCGAAGAAACCTAATTTATATATATTATCTTTAAGTAACTATTGACCAATCTCAAATAACTTGATTGGTCTCTAAGATGGCTTTTTTAAATTTATTTAAGCTTTGGATAAAGTAATTGCCCCATGATTGCTATCATTTATGATTGACAACATTTTTTTTCTTAATAACCCATAGTCTCATTTTAAGAGCACTTCTTTGTACAGAAACCATGCTTGTTAAATTTAATAATGGACTACTGCTGAGTAGTGACTGAAGGAATGACTCAATTTGAGTTCTTCTAGATTTAAGTGCTGCTGAATGCATTGTTTAAAGTCACAGGTCAAAAATAAGGACGTTGCTCTGAATGTGTTATTCTTATATATTTGAAACAAAACATTTGTTATCCCTCTAAACCATGTCCTTGATGGCTCAGCTGTGTTTTGGTGTACCTCAGGGAACTATCATTGCCCCCCTTCATTTCTCCACTAACATGCTTCTACTTGGGTAGCTGATTCAAAAGCATAGGGTGTAATATAATTTCTATGCAGGTGATGATCTACTGTGCATAATGATATAACCTACACATTGCAGTAGCTTTGCGAATCACAGAGTTTACCTTATTGAAATCAAATTATGGATGGTCCAGGATTTTGTCAAACTCATAATACAATAAGTTCAACAATAAATCCAGGGTTGTTCTCTTTGGTCCCTAAAATATATCACCCATGCTGCAAGAAATATAGAAGTCACATTTGATTCGAACCTCCAACTAAAATCTCAAAACTTAGGTAATTTCTGACCTAAAACAAGTTTTACACACTTCTTCTGGATATTCTCACTGTGGCTACTGTAGTGTAAATAACACAAGTACTGGCACATTACACTTTTAATTTATTGCATCAATGACGTTAAACCCTGAAAGATGTTTCGAACTTAAATGACAAGGATAAAAAGCTATATCTCAACAATTTGATGAAAAAACAATTTGTTCTAGAAGTTGACTCAAAAGCAACAAAACAAATATGAAAATCTAATTTATTTGAGCACTTGACTGCCTGACATTATCAAAAGTCAAGACTGATCTTGGCTGTTTCTGAATCACCAACAAAAGTTAATGCACAACCACTGCTGAGTCATTTCTGAGTCATGGTTGCAACAAGGATCACGATGAACGACTTTGTTGTTGGTTTCAATTTAAATGACATTTAGCAATACAAACCAGCTATTAAAAAAGCTGTGTCAGTGACTCATGGTTCCTTTGTAATAATTATTGTAGGCTACTTGTTTTTGACTGTCACAGATTGTGTCATGCATTTTAAAGAGGGTAGCTAATCATTTGAAAAATCACATTTGACTTTGTTTGTGGCCAAACCACAAAAGTTGGGAACAATAAGATTGTTAGTTTATTTAATGTCTGACCATTTGTCAAGCACATATTCCTTCACCAGGTAACATTGCTTTGTTGGGTTGTTTAAAAAGAGTTTAATACACAAGTGATAGAAGCAAGTTTAGTACAACCTGCTGTTGGCAAAGTATTTGCTCTTTACTGAGTAAAAAGGATTCCCAAAGGAATTTTGTATTAAAATCAAAGTTTAACTGGATAAGGATTTGGGTATTGCTGGTAAAACATTTTTGCTTCTGTAAACAATTATTAAGGAAAAAAATGAGGAAGATCTCATGATCTCAATATACGTCACAATCAGTGATAGACTACGTGAAGAGGTGCAAGGCAAACGTTTGGCAGCAGGTCTACCTGACTATCACAAGGTTCAAAACCAGAAGGAGGAGAGTCAACAAACCTACATGGTTGTATGTTTAAATACCAGGTAAAGGTGTGTGAGTGAAATGGAAGTAGGGGAGACTTTGCAGTAATGACAAAAAACAACATGTATTTCCATTTATGTGCCGAAACCAGTAACTTTAGTCATTTTTGCTTAAAACTTTAAAAGTGTAAGCTTTTTTTTTTTTTAAAGTTGCTGTTGATCAATTAAAGAACTAAACTTCTAATCTGTCCCAACATCAGAATGAAAAACAAAAAAACAAAGCGACACTCACATGGAATTTTGTTCAGCTCATTCATGAACTTGTTCTTCAGCTTGGAAAGGGCTTCTTTCTCATCCGTGCCTGGTCCAGCCATGCTCGTTGTGTTGGAGCCGGCCGTCGAGGAGAAGGCGGAGGTGGGTGCGGGGGCCGCTGCCGCCAGCGCTTCCCTTCGGCTCTCACTCATTGTGGCGATGCCGGGCAGCCAGGCAGTTGCTGGACAAGTAGAAAAAGATACAGGCGAAACAGACAGTTAGATTTTGTGTGTTTTCAGCTTCTGTGACAGATGCATGTCAGAGGCAGAGAGCTCGCCTCGTCTGATGACTGAGTTGACGAGGACTGTGTGAGCAGCTGCTGGCTCAGCCTGAGTAAACATCAGCTGAGGTCCAGAGTGAATTGGCCAGCACTCTGGATTCAAAACAAAGCTGCTAACTCACTGGAAAAACTCAATATTAACATCACAAAACAGCAATAAAGTGATTATTTATTACCGCCTTACAACACGAGCCATGCACTTCAGGTCTGGCTTAATTATTCTGCACATTCACAAGTCAAGTAAAAGGACATCAGATACGGTAATGTAGCAGGGCACCACACAAAGCCCTTTGTACACACCAGGTGTATTTACATTCAGGTCTGGCTGCAAAGGAAACAGTGTGACCCTTATGTTAACCACTTTTCTTTTTTCTTTTGAGTGCGAGTCCTCACACAGTTCTCTGCTTTGCTTGTTTTGTGTTTTACAGCCACATCCATGATAATCACTTCACTCATTGTGGAACATGAAGCTTCCACATGATCTCAACACACCTCCCGGGCAATAACAGACAGTTTAATTCAACAACACCGAGCTCTATGGCTCATAACTAACCATCAACTGGTGGTCCCCGGACCATACCTGGCCTGGGAATTATTACATTTGTTTAATGAATTATGTGTACTCTGATACAGGAATCAGCTGTTGTAGCTCAGGGCCAATCAGAGTGCTTGTTCATATAATTAGTTTTACATCAAAATAATGCATTTTCTTTAAAAAGTCAAAGGATCAACATATTGTTTTATTAAGTATAAATGACGTGTAACAGTTGCTGCAGCACCACAACCACTCTAACTGCAGATAGGAACTTTTTATTGTGTACTCTGGGTGTGCAGGTTGTAATTTGCTCTGTCACCATAGCAATTCAAGAGGATAATGGCCTGTTAAAGAAAACCAGTACACAGTGAGGATTGATGGCCTAATTTTCCTTCTCTGCCACAGTCTGTGCTCACTAAACTCATATTTCCACCATTTGTTTAATTGGTACATATAAAAAAACTCCAAAAAGCCAAGAACATGTTATTGCTCGTCTAAAAAAGTTAAGTCTGGTCCTCTGGACATTCAAAAAACAGAACAAAACATTGAATGTCCAGAGGACCAGACTTAACTTTTTTTACATTTTTCTACCTGGATTAATGAGCATGCATCAGGTTATCGCTCATATTTCCCAAAACATTGTTAAATAAAGAAATGAAAAAGACTTTTCAAGGAGATGAAGTTTTATTTGTTTTCAGAAATGAACAAAATTAGGCTACAAAAAGGTAATGAGACAGTCTAAACTCTATATATATATATATATATATATATATATATATATATATATATATATAGTATTTTATGTTTGAAACAAAAATACTGAGCTTTTATAACTTTAAGTTCCAAGCTGACACTTAAGTTGAGCAAATAAAGACTTTCTAAAATAATAAGTTTGATCAATACCTTTAAGGGGTTACACTTCAATGACAGTTTCAAACGTATATTGCTATAAATCTAGGAAATCTATTAGAAATAATAGTTTTTATGGCTATCCATGTCTCTGCTATTCCTGAAGAAAAATATATCTGACCACAGACAACAGTCATTTGATCTCTACATCAAATACACTAATTTAGAGCTGAATAAAAGTCTGTAAAACGTAATTACTTGATTTAAAAAACAGTTCTAGTACAAAAACAAATAAAATGAAAAAATACTGACAATTACAACACAGATGTTTTAAAATAAAGTAAACATCATAAAGTGTTTTACATTTTTGGTGAGTCCTCGATACTAAATAATCTCATGCATTATTTAAATTGATCTAATTTTAATTTAAAACACAAAATAACTGAAAATGTGCTTCAGCTGTAAGAAAACATGGTACTGCAAATGTAAATCTAACTGAATAACAAAGGTCATATAGCAGAAGCATTTTTGATATGTCTCCCCAGCAGCGCACTGTTGAACAGCAAGATCAAACACGTTTGACCAACATTAATTCTATTTTTTTGGTTATAATACGATTTAAGTTTTTTTTTTTTTCTTTACTCCTGCATGCCACTATTTGTGGTAATTTATTCATAGAGTGCAAATGAAAATGTAGAGCAAACAAACTGTATAAAATGTATAAAGATAGTAACTTCAGCTGGAAATATGCACTGTGCTGCTGGGGTGGTCAACTTTTGGCAAAGAGCAGCTGAGAATTTATTTCGGAGTGACTGTGAGCCAGCAGAGGAGGATAACCGAGTGTAAGAAACGGGTGCTTGAAACATTCTTGATAAGTAAACCAGGACTTGTGATCAAAGTGTTGTTTCAGGCTCAGTCAGGGTGTGAGGTGAGGACAAGGAGTTTGTGCTTTGCAAAAAGAAATGAGACTTTCAAATCTAACACCAGACATGCCACCAAAGCTGTTGGATTTTTTTTTTTTTGTGTCTGGCTTTTCCATGATGGTTCAACTTTGTTGCAAGTGAGCTACTGCCTGAAGCTAACAGGTGTAGGTATTTTCAGGTCTTGTTCAAAAGTTGGCAAATATATTTAAGGGTACATTGGACCAATATTTACATGGATGTTAGGGCTGTAGGGCTTTGTAGTGGCAAAGAGGAAACTTTCAAACATCACTTAAGGTTATTAGCTAACAGCAACACATCTAATGAGGCTCATCCAAAGGGTGGCATTCAGCTAAAGGGGTAATGTGGGGAGCTCCGCCATCCACAAGTTACTGAAGGTAGAGTAACTGCTCCCAAGGATACGATTCAATAATCCAGGAAGGTAACGTATAAATTACATTATGGCAAAGACGGGTCCATCCCAAAGATCCAGTCCCCCGGTACAAACAGAGCAATATTGTGGTTTGAGAGAGGAGTGAAGGAGGCCATCTTTGTGAAGAGAACCTGTCCATCATTGAACAGGGGTGGAGGTCTCTGTGTTCAACTGTTTCCCTCTTACAATGCTCTTATTGAAAGCGTCACTCAGTTCCTGTGAATAGCAAGTGGCCGTCAGGGCACTAACAGTCGGTCATTAGGCTGATGGTCCTCCTTTATCGTGTGAACAGCTAGTTTTGGCTGTCTCCAGCAAACTAGTTGATCCACTATGAGAAGGTGCTGCTTATCAGACTGTTTGTTGCAGCTCCTCAGACTGAAGTCTTCTGGATGAAACGTTTCAACAAAAATCCACCCAGAGGACCTGACTCAACCTTGTTAGATAGATGAAGAGGTTTGGGCCTCAAGCTGCCTCCCAGGATTTCAAGTCAGCATTAAAAGAACAAATGGAAATGGTTTGGTGATTGATATTTGTATGAATGGATAATTATTAAGAAGATGGTACATTTTGTTCAAGACTAAGCACATAAAAAGTCAGTGAACTTAATCATCTGCAAATAAGACCAAATAACTTATTGTAAATAGTGCAAGTGTTTTTTTTTTTTTTAGTTGAGGATTATTAACTTTTTCAGTATTTGCTCATATATCTTATCGATTCAAGTCTGATGTTATGTCTGACAATGTATTTAGGTTTTTGTATTAATACCAGACAATATTATTATTCTCTTGACATTTTTCTTGCAGTTTTTACTTGAGATTTTTGTTGCAGTTCAATCGTTATTTTGGTGAATTTAATCATTTTGGAAACATCTGAACCTGACTATTTGATACAAAATCTCTAAAACTCAAGACTTACAGAGTAATTTTGGACATTTAATTGAAATGTACAAAATGAATTAGCTGTAATGAAATGTGTTTAAATCTACACGGTCGATTTAACAAAACTTTGTCTTGACATTGAATGTGAATACAAGCGAACGCGGTGCCAGCACGAGGTGGTGATCACAATCACCGCTGCCGTTTCTCTACTCCGAGAACGCTCCAAACTGCCACACTCTCCAGATGTGATTCTAACACTAGGCTAGCACTTCTTTAGCACCACCCATCACCATAATCAAAAGATATTTTTAAAGATATGTTGTGTTGAAAACGCATGTACAAAAACACACTAACAAAGTGCCAAATAAAACACAACCAAAGAAAAAGACGACCCAACAAAGGCACTTCAGTTTCAGGTAAATGATGGCAACGAGGAGCCGACTGTTACCTTGGGCCACTCAACCTTCATCACGGTTGCACAAACACCTACGCATGTCCATGTTAGCTCAGGCCCCCTTTGGTCTCCTTTTGAATTGTTGCAAGGTTAGTGTGGGGGCTGATCCATTGAGAGGCGTGCATGGCAATGACAGATACTTTAACACAGGCAAGGACTTTCAGTGAGCACAATGCTGCGCTGCAAAGTGCATGTGGGAGGCTTCTACTATAGAAAAAAGAATTGATCATCCTCTGATGTGTGTGAATATGAAGAGGGATGGAGTGAGATATTTCTAAGTAAGCCTACTCCTCATGTAAGAGACAAATTAAAACAACATCTATGCATATTCATGTGTGCATAATGCAAAGGGAGCTCCATTTTGAAAGGAGAGTAAATTGGATTTGTCAAACAGTAATTCCAATGTTTTTTTGGGAAAATAAATCCTACCAGTGACGCAAAGACCTTTCAAATATAGAGAGTGAGGCATCTGCCTTTCAAGATGATATGAGCTTTCATATCTGGTAATTTTCTTTGTCATTTACAAACTGATGCGTCTCCTAAAAGTATGAACACGAGCAGTGTGTGTGTGGAGGACCACCCACAGTGTTTGTTATGCCTCTCACACCAGACCTCATATTAGCGACTCAAAAATGGAACAATAATTTATCTCGTATTTGTGCCTTAATGACTGCTTGCTCGGTGAAGCATACAATGACAGCTTCCATGTTATCTTCATTGTCTGAAACAGCTGACAGCAGGCAGTCCACTTGAAACTCAGGGCCATTTACAGCTGGAGGATTGAAGCTTGTTTATCTTCATGGGACACCAGAGTGTGTTGACCTTTTTCCCT